AACTTCCACAGCAGTGCCTTGCCGCTCCCCTTACCTTATACCTTACTACATAGCCTACACAACACTTCCACAGCAGTGCCTTGCCGCTCCCATTATACCTTACTATATAGCCTACACAACACTTCCACAGCAGTGCCTTGCCACTCTCCTTATACCTTACTATAAAGCCTACACAACACTTCCACGGCAGTGCTTTGCCACTCTCCTTATACCTTACTATAAAGCCTACACAACACTTCCACAGCAGTGCCTTGCCTCTCCCCTTATACCTTACTATATAGCCTACACAACACTTCCACAGCAGTGCCTTGCCTCTCCCCTTATAGCTTACTTTTTAGCCTACACAACACTTCCACAGCAGTGCCTTGCCGCTCCCCTTATACCTTACTATAAAGCCTACACAACACTTCCACAGCAGCAGTGCCTTGCCTCTCCCCTTATAACTTACTATATAGCCTACACAACACTTTCACAGCAGTGCCTTGCCGCTCCCCTTATACCTTACTATATAGCCTACACAACACTTTCACAGCAGTGCTATGCCGCTCCCCTTATACCTTACTATATAGCCTACACAACACTTTCACAGCAGTGCCTTGCCGCTCCCCTTATACCTTACTATATAGCCTACACAACACTTCCACAGCCGTGCCATGCCTCTCCCCTTATACCTTACTATATAGCCTACACAACACTTCCACAGCAGTGCCTTGCCTCTCCCCTTATAACTTACTATATAGCCTACACAACACTTGAGCAGCAGTGCCTTGCCGCTCCCCTTATACCTTACTATATAGCCTACACAACACTTCCACAGCAGTGCCTTGCCACTCTTCTTATACCTTACTATATAGCCTACAAAAAACTTCCACAGCCGTGCCATGCCTCTCCCCTTATACCTTACTATATAGCCTACACAACACTTCCACAGCAGTGCCTTGCCACTCCCCTTACCTTATACCTTACTATAAAGCCTACACAGCACTTCCACAGCAGTGCCTTGCCACTACCCTTATACCTTACTATATAGCCTACACAACACTTCCACAGCAGTGCCTTGCCGCTCCCCTTACCTTATACCTTACTATAAAGCCTACACAGCACTTCCACAGCAGTGCCTTGCCACTACCCTTATACCTTACTATATAGCCTACACAACACTTCCACAGCAGTGCCTTGCCGCTCCCCTTACCTTATACCTTACTATAAAGCCTACACAGCACTTCCACAGTAGTGCCTTGCCTCTCCCCTTATACCTTACTATATAGCCTACACAACACTTCCACAGCAGTGCCTTGCCGCTCCCCTTACCTTATACCTTACTATAAAGCCTACACAGCACTTCCACAGCAGTGCCTTGCCACTCCCCTTACCTTATACCTTACTATAAAGCCTACACAGCACTTCCACAGCAGTGCCTTGCCACTCCCCTTACCTTATACCTTACTATAAAGCCTACACAGCACTTCCACAGCAATGCCTTGCCACTCCCCTTACCTTATACCTTACTATATAGCCTACACAACACTTCCACAGCAGTGCCTTGCCACTCTTCTTATACCTTACTATATAGCCTACAAAAAACTTCCACAGCCGTGCCATGCCTCTCCCCTTATACCTTACTATATAGCCTACACAACACTTCCACAGCAGTGCCTTGCCACTCCCCTTACCTTATACCTTACTATAAAGCCTACACAGCACTTCCACAGCAGTGCCTTGCCACTACCCTTATACCTTACTATATAGCCTACACAACACTTCCACAGCAGTGCCTTGCCGCTCCCCTTACCTTATACCTTACTATAAAGCCTACACAGCACTTCCACAGCAGTGCCTTGCCACTACCCTTATACCTTACTATATAGCCTACACAACACTTCCACAGCAGTGCCTTGCCGCTCCCCTTACCTTATACCTTACTATAAAGCCTACACAGCACTTCCACAGTAGTGCCTTGCCTCTCCCCTTATACCTTACTATATAGCCTACACAACACTTCCACAGCAGTGCCTTGCCGCTCCCCTTACCTTATACCTTACTATAAAGCCTACACAGCACTTCCACAGCAGTGCCTTGCCACTCCCCTTACCTTATACCTTACTATAAAGCCTACACAGCACTTCCACAGCAGTGCCTTGCCACTCCCCTTACCTTATACCTTACTATAAAGCCTACACAGCACTTCCACAGCAATGCCTTGCCACTCCCCTTACCTTATACCTTACTATATAGCCTACACAACACTTCCACAGCAGTGCCTTGCCACTCTTCTTATACCTTACTATATAGCCTACAAAAAACTTCCACAGCCGTGCCATGCCTCTCCCCTTATACCTTACTATATAGCCTACACAACACTTCCACAGCAGTGCCTTGCCACTCCCCTTACCTTATACCTTACTATAAAGCCTACACAGCACTTCCACAGCAGTGCCTTGCCACTACCCTTATACCTTACTATATAGCCTACACAACACTTCCACAGCAGTGCCTTGCCGCTCCCCTTACCTTATACCTTACTATAAAGCCTACACAGCACTTCCACAGCAGTGCCTTGCCACTACCCTTATACCTTACTATATAGCCTACACAACACTTCCACAGCAGTGCCTTGCCGCTCCCCTTACCTTATACCTTACTATAAAGCCTACACAGCACTTCCACAGTAGTGCCTTGCCTCTCCCCTTATACCTTACTATATAGCCTACACAACACTTCCACAGCAGTGCCTTGCCGCTCCCCTTACCTTATACCTTACTATAAAGCCTACACAGCACTTCCACAGCAGTGCCTTGCCACTCCCCTTACCTTATACCTTACTATAAAGCCTACACAGCACTTCCACAGCAGTGCCTTGCCACTCCCCTTACCTTATACCTTACTATAAAGCCTACACAGCACTTCCACAGCAATGCCTTGCCACTCCCCTTACCTTATACCTTACTATATAGCCTACACAACACTTCCACAGCAGTGCCTTGCCTCTCCCCTTATACCTTACTATACAGCCTACGCAACACTTCCACAGCAATGCCTTGCCGCTCCCCTTACCTTATACCTTACTATCTCTTTCAACACCAGTCAACCAGAAGTGTTTACTGCTGGGACACCGAGTTCCCAGAGGCTCTTGTGTGATAGATGAAGTCAACATTTATCAAAGAAAATACCTGCTTGTAAAATATATTTGCTACTTCATGTTATACACCATTTGAAAGGTCTGATCCTATGGTTTATAAATATGAAAGTTATGTTTTTCACATTATTTAAAATAATGCATTTACAACTTAATTAAATTCGTTGTAAATAAAAAATGTACGCTAACACGTTGTTAACATCCAGATTAAGGACCAAGGAAGCGAAAACTTGACGATTTTCGGCAAATATATGATTTCATAATATCCACGTACCTATTTCTATTTTATTTTCATTGTTTACGTTATTGGAAAATCATTTTAAAAAGAATTATAAATAGTCTCTGTCATCACCCATTTCCCGATAACAGCGACTGTCCGCTCAGTAAAATGAAGAAATACCCCCGTTTTCGAGGTTTCGTATGAATAACACGTTCGTCGAAGAATGGCATATGACACATCGCTGGAAAGCTTATTGCTTCATCTACACGCTCGTAACATCGACTGGTTTTTTTCCGTAGTTATAACAAGCGATTTCATTGGATTAAAATTGGTTTCTAATGACGCTTTCTTGCTGAAATCTGCTACAAGTTTCGTGATTGGTCAATTTTGAGCACGTGACCTGGGGCAGCCAATCAAATTACAGCTGTGATACCAAGCTCGTGTTCGATAAATTACAGAAGTTTGCGAAAGAATTTTGTTAAATCGTGTTATTCTGAACGTTTTGAGCAGGAAATCACGATATATATTAAAAATATGAGCCTTCGTGAATGTATCGTGCTAGGTTACGAGCTGTGACAAAGATTTTTCATGCATATATTTTTGCATTAAACATCGTGTCCGAGCCGAGAATTCAAGGCGACGAAAGCCGAGATGTCATTTGACTTACATTACACGCGATCGCACGAAAAGATGAAAATAATAACTTAGATGTAAGTTTGATTACTTTTAGATATATTTTTGTTGATTTTATATATTACTTTGTATAATATATTTAAAGATTTGTTTAAAACGTCTTTATTTTCCTCTTTGACGTGTTCGATGTGGACCCGTTGTCGAAATGTGTGTCCGAGAATTTTATTTTCAATAACATCGCGGGAAATAGTGAATAATTTTTTAATTTAACGATAAAAAATGTTAAATTGAAGTGGAATATGTATTTCAGACATTGTGAAATGTGATAGATTTAATAAATGAATGATATTACAGGTAGGTCCATAAAAATATAGTACTATTTTGACGTGACTACGGCTTGGCCGGATTACCGGCCTGCGGTGTCTGGGGACTCGATGCTTCTTGGCCGGATAACCGGCCTACGGTGTTGAAAGAGTTAAATAGCCTACCTAGCACTTCCACAGCAGTGCCTTGCCTCTCCCCTTATACCTTACTATATAGCCTACCTAGCACTTCCACAGCAGTGCCTTGCCACTCCCCTTACCTTATACCTTACTTTATAGCCTACACAACACTTCCTCAGCAGTGCCTTGCCACTCCCCTTATACCTTACTATATAGCCTAGACAACACTTCCACAGCCGTGCCTTGCCTCTCACCTTATACTTACTCTGTGACTAAACATCAATTTGATGTCACTAAAAACATCAAATGAACCAAAAAAATAGAGGCCTTGGCTCGAGTACATTGGTAATCATTGCACGCAGATGATGAAATATTACAAAAAGGGTAAAAATGTATGGATCCATCATTCACACATTACGTTATTAACAGTTGAATTGGGAAGGAAGGGGCACAGACAAGTCTCTGCAGTAAAGAAACACAGAGCTTTAATACGCGTGTAGAATATACTCACAGCGAAATAGTATGTAGAAAAGAGGGGAACGAACATTACGATGAATACACGTATTACCTGCTATGCTTTCACTGTAGCCTTTGGTGAAAAACATCAATGCCTTGGCTGCTCGTACTGGTGTTCGGAGAAGACCTTGTCTTGTTGGATCCTCGCCTAAACCGACAAGAATCTTTTCGAAGTAATGTGATATTTCTTCTGCAACATCATCTTCGCTTTTTCCGGTTGTCCTGCTCGATTTGGCAGCTTTGACCACCCCGTTCTCTAATGTCAGTTGCCGTCCACGCAGCTGTAACTTGGTTTCCTCTGGCTCTGGGTCAGCAGAACACAGGCTCGGGTGTTTCACCATTGTCAAGCGTCTCAATTTATCTTCAAGTTCCTTATCGGGATCAGGAACAAAACGATCAACGGTCATATTATCATCACACATAGTTGGTACTGAATATTTGATATTGCCGCCGTGCACTGATGCTGTACACTGTCTATACCCACTGAAACTCGCACACTATTGACGGCTGTATTCTATTTATAGCAATGACTTTGTAACATGGATTTTGATTGGCTATAATATAACAAGTAAACAGGTGCTCGCAATGATACTAACCGACTTACGAATAATTACATCATTTTCATTAAACGGCATTTAATTATTTAGAAATCATTGAAAATTTCATGACAAACAAAGTTAAGCCGTGCGCATACTCAATACGATGGCCGCTCAAAACGGACTCGGTGAAATGTTTAAAACACCCCAATTTTCAGGCATGGTCTTTCAAGTCTTTGAAAGGCATTTATTAGTGATATACACATAAGGAAGAGAATTTATGGGTATCAACTTCTTTATTATGAGGAACACAACGTTTCGAAGTACACGATTACCATGGAGTAAGTATATTCTCCGAAACGTTGTGTTCCTCAAAATAAAGAAGTTGACATCCATACATTCTCTACCTTATCGTGTTTCAGTTGAATACATCCAGTGGTTGACATCATGCCCATCGATATTCGTATCCCAATTGCGAAGATCGATGCGCATGATGTCATTCACTTGATTGCCTGGTCCAGACACGAGTATTTACAGACCGCCTGGAATAGCTGGAATATTTTTGAGTGCTGCGTTAAACAACAAACAGACAAATTTCACATTTTGAAACTGAGCAAATTCATTTCTAGTTAAATCATCAGTCATGTTCAGAGGCAATGTCTTTACTTCGGACATGATCAAGAACATAGTGACGATGGACAAATGTTTTATCTTTAAGCGAAAATCTGTCTTTGATAAAGTCTGTGACTCAATACGATTTTACCGGATGTTCGTACTGTCTTTAACGCTTATAAATATCATATGTCCTGCTCAGGTTACAAATTTGCAAAAACGCTTCGTGAAAGTATCTAAAACCAGACAGTTTCATACGTTTTCAAATTCAAATGGCTATTGTATGAAAGTCCATGTGCCCAAATACATGAAGTGCATATACAATACAGAACATGATCATTTTACTCATAGATTCACATGTTACATTTCAGTATATTTCTGGTCTTGAAGGCATAATTGAGATATAACATAACAGATTTTAAAGCTTGATACTTTGAGGTTACCATAAGGCGAATACACTGTTGGGCTGACGGTCGAATTACATATTTATTTGGCATGTATTACTTTCGAAAATCTTTCAAGGATGGACATATAAAGGTGAATTGGTACAGATATTCGATAAAATCAGCAGAAAATATCTACATGAGGTCGAATCTATTAAATATTTCTCTGCTTCTAAACTTATCTTAAAAACTGTATAATACTCATATCTACTACTAGATAATATCTAAAACCATTGCATGTGATATATTTTATCATCACTTAACATGGTTGATGTAAGTGCTGAAATGAACAACGTCTAACTCTCCATAAACGCGTGAATACGTGTGGCAGGCAACTTCCACAATGATTTGTAAAGAACATAAGGTCCTGGTCACATGTGTTCAGTGTGTTTATATTCGCGTGGCTGTTTATATCACCTTATCTATTCTTTGCTGTATTTTTTCATATTCACACATATACATATGCATTTATCAAACAAAAACGCATTCAACATTGAGAGCATTTGAATCAAACTGCAAACAATTTGCAATGTTGGTTTTATAAATGTCAATGAGATTTGGTTTTAAAATTATGCACAGATCTCAGAGTACGTTTGCTTGACACGCCAACATCGCATTAGACACGGTAAACGGACAACTCTTGTTTGGGTGAATGACGCGTTCCTGACAATCCCGTTCAGTGCGTAAACGTTGATGTTGACGGGGACATTAGCTCAGATTGAAGACGATGAAAACGTTCAGTCTTCGCTTCTTTAGTCGGCAATAAAACAAACAAAAACAATTAATAATAGAAATATGTCGAGCGGAGATTCCAACTCAACTACCACAAGTCAAGTCCAGCAAGCAGGTGTATCCTACTCGCAGCTGTACATACAGGTGCTGTCGGTATACCAGACTCACTAACAGTAAAGATGTAAACATATATATACACTACTGGACAGCAATGGACAGACGAAGAGACGATGGCGTTACCCTGGACATGGGACTTATGGATGTGACTACAAACACGGCCCAGGGGGAATGGATTCAAGCTATAAAGGTCGCAATGTGCAATGCCGTGTCAGACATGGATTACATCATGTTAAATAGTCCAAATTTCCTAAACGATATGTACTCAACACTACAAAAGGGGAGTAGTTAAGAAGCTATAATTCTTAAAAGATCATGCGTTGTCCAAACAAGAGTGCTCTGTGACAAGTGTCCACAAGAGTGAGTGAGTTGGTTTGAGTAATTATGACACAGTGTCAGCTTAATGCTGGAAGAAGGCCTGAGATATCAATATCAAGAGGTCAATATCAAGACGCATACCACTATGTGTTTTGAACATACGATGACAAGATTCCACCAAAGGGAAGCAACTCTTCACAACGAGTTGTGGCGTAATTGGTGCCTGAACCACCCAAAAGTTCATATTCGTCCTTCATATAAATGATTAGTTGGTTTCTTAAGTTTCTTGAGAATCCAATTAGGCAAGGCGATCAGTTATACATGTACATACAACGGCACGACACAATCTGCGCCTCAATGTATGAGGCGATATTGTCCTCACGATTAGATTAGATATTTCAAGCGAAATGTTTGTAGAAACACATATTTCCATAGCCTGTTATACATGTGTTATTAACTCTATATTTCAAGAGGTTATATTTAATTTTAGTTGTATCTTGTGAAAAATATTGGGCCTGTCGGAGTAAGTGTCCATCGGAAGGTCGTTTTCTTGAGTGAATACAAAATAAGGAGGCGTATGGAGAACTCTCTATTTGAAACTCATCGTCAGCGCCGTCGATGCCAGGAGCCTGTCTATTCAGTTTCGTCGGTGTTCATTGGTCTGCATTACTGATCAGATGGATGAGTGGATATACAGGCATCAATAGGGGGAGATACAAACTTAGTTGTCCCGAAGATGTACTGAGATCAAGTAGGTCTGAAAGAAGAACTCGAATGATATTTGTTTTGTTAAGTGTTTTTATCACTTTATACTAGGGCTGGGACGAGTCCAAATCTACTACCCGGGAACTCAACCCCCTATTACCAGCCAACCCGGGTACCCACTGTAGGTCTCAAGAGTTGGGAACAAAATGTCTGACTTGTAATTGTTTTACCACAGCCATGGCAAAAACTATTTCGAAACATGAATCAAACGAACAGATCATGCGTACACTGAAGTTGACTGAAGCTTTATCTTTACTCAAACATATACTTGTAATGTAATTACTGAGCTATAGTGTGTTTTTGTCATTAAACAAATCACATATCCAAACACAGCCCGTCCAGGTAGATACTGTGGGTACCTGGGTCCGCCTGAGAACCCACCCGACCCGAGAAAGCGAGTTACCCATCCCAGCTATACTTTATCTGGTAGATTGACCCAAAGACCATCTTCCGGTATATGGTCTCTGAATTAGCCTATTAGATCGATTAGCATTAGCATGATGATCAGTTCGGAGTACCTCCTCTCGACACCACAGGGACATATGGGCCTGCAATGTATATATCGTGGAGTACCTTGTTTTCAAACAACTGCACCACGTTGACCGTGATTTGTCACGTTACAAAGAGAGTTGTGACAGAATCAAAACTTTGATTTGACACTGCACACACGCGACCTCAGACTTGCACAAGTCTGTGATGCAAAAAATATTAGCGTAATCATAATTTCTAGATTATATAAATACTATGAACAAGTTGACCCTATGAGATTTGCTAAAAGATAAAAGGCGCCACCTGTACTTTATCCTGCAATTGTGTACACTTTTTGAGTTACATTATAATGGACTGCATGACCTCATGGCGCTGTTCAAATTACCTCCTCTGTGATCTAATGTATCCTTGGTAACATTGTTCTTTCATTACAGCCAAGCAAGATTGCGCATCCACATAAATTTTCGGTTATTTAAATCTTGTCTATTTTTTTAATATTATTACATTGGAAGAAATATGCCAAGATGATGTCAGTCTTCTCTCATCCCATAGGATCACAAACATATTCAAACCATTGTGTCTGAGGCATGCGCTGGTACCTCCAAATTATGTCTGTCTGTGGACAAAGGAATGGGTCAACTGCAGTCTACCCTAAACGCATGAGCAATCCTTGAAATGTTTCATAACCATATGTACACCTGTTGCTCAGAGTTTGTTTGTTGTTTAACTCCGCACTCAGCAATATTCCAATCATATGACAGCGGTCAGTAGTATAGGTAATGTGGGTTCTGGCTCGCTTCCACTGGAGTCAGATTTATATACCTATACCGCTACTACAGAGGGAATTTGTTTATGTCAAAACGCTGATGCGATTCAACGATTGCCAAGTTAAATTGGCTCTAGCTCACCACTACCTGGAGCCAATCAATGATACCATAGAGGGACTTTTTAGTACAAAAACGATGATGAGACTAAACTAAATTGTAATGAAAATATTCTCTATTATTTTTACTCATGCGTATGCCATTATTTTTAACAAAGTGATATTCAACATTTTAACTAAGTTCTTCGCTTATTTTACGAGGAGACCAGACTATATACTCTTCTTGGTAATATATACCTTGTGGTAATTCTCTCCATTTGATAATTTTGTCCCTGAGCATAAATGCTTCAATAGCTTTTTCGAGTTCTTCCTTTGTTGGTTTGTAATTCTCCATTATTATATACTTATGTTAGCATTCGTTTATATGAATGTATTATTTTTTATGCGGTGCGATCTAATGATATGAAGCAATCTATTTTTAATCTCCAACAAGTTCTTTGGTTTTGGCATGGAATAATTGACGCGCTTGTTGTCTCCCCTGTTCTATGAACTTTATTTTCTCGTCTTCGCTAATACCACTGGTCTTACGAGAATTTGATCGAATCTCCTGCTTCATTGCGTTGTATTTGGTGAGTTCTGACAGCCTTAAACGAAACTCATCCTTGGATATCTTACAATCAGCCATTGCTGTGAAATATGGTCCTCAATGCTGTTCAACTTTGCTTCGGCGAGTATCTGAATATTATCATGTTTTAATGCTTTCTTTTGCAACTTACGAGAAATGAATTTTAGAAATGAAATTCCCGCCAGTCCTGAGACTCCAGCGGCTATTTCCATGCCAAGTACGATAGGCGCGGCGATTATAGTTGATAATAAACCAACACTGGCTACACGAGTTCCATGCTAGCTGTTACAAGTGCGGTGTCAACTCCGTCGAGAGCATTCACGGCTCTGCGATACTTTTTATACAATCCAAGTCTCAACTCCCTCTCCTTCTCTATTCAATGTTTTATGTCGCTTACTTGATGTAATCGAAATCCATCAACAGTATCCATCTTTTCAGATGCTTCATCCAGCGCCGGATATGAACCCATAGTGTATATTATTATATCATATAATAGTCTTTAATTGGTCTTGCTTCAATGTTTTGAGAGTATACATCAACCCTATTTAATGTATATTATACGGCATGAATATCGTAGTAAGAGAAATGCTGTCACTTTTAATAACTTGGACCCCCTCAAGGGTTGCAATGGGTGATGCTCCTACATAAATGATACTGCAACGTTGACGTTGGTGTTTCTCGAGCCATTTAATCGATAGACCTGGTAATATTTTGAAGGCATCTTCCGGTGCATCTCCAAACAAGACTTCAATAATAAGCGTAGAAAGATTAGGTAAAGCACTCAAGTTCTGTTTAATATCATTGAATTCAGTAACCAAATTTAAACTAACATTTTTTGATGCCGAACGACTATATAACATATGACCTGGGTTTTCTGGCAGGGGAGAGACTAACACACTTTTTCGTTTTGATGGGATATAAGCCCTGAGTACGATCCCACTATTTATTATCTTAGTTAATTGATGTGCCTTACCCGTCATCACATATGGTGGGGTAATGACGATACTCGATTTTTGCTTTGATCATAGTCAATTTATTATCATCGTTGCGAGTAAGATTATATGAAGTGTTTTTATTGAGTCTACTCAAGTCGATATTGCTTAAATCTGCTAGATTACCTGTGAATGCAACTTCTTTCCGCTTGTATACATTAACTTGTAAGTGTAAAGCGTATAACTTTCCATCAGTACCAGGTTTACCGAATCCTTCTGTGTCTCCGAGATCGGAAAGCGCAATTGTATTACATTGTCTGAGCGTTCCAGGGCCTGATGAATCAACCATTATTTATAATATGGAGTGTTACACTCAAGTATCTTATGTGTACAGGTTGATGTTTTACATCTAATACAGTAATTTTGAGGTCTGAAATAATACCCAGTTTTAATTTTTTATATTGTAATGATGAGAAAGATTCCGTTATACCGCCATTATATTTTTCATTTTTGACTGGAATAGCTCTCAGCAGAGTTGAATATTATCCGTTGTACTGATCTGATCAAGATGGATGCACAACTCTTTATAGGGAACTAAATCGGTTAATTTAGTTCCATGCTGTGTTTCGTTGGGATTTATTATTGTCATTATTCCTCCTCAGTAGTTTACAAGTCCAAGTGTATCTGCTACGTTCGGGTTAAGCATTACAATCTTTTCTCCAGAGTTTAAAATCAGCATCCCATTCGTTTCATTTTGTGTGAGACTCATTCCTAAAGGCTTAAAAAATTCATCATTGAGCGAGCATACGCTGTAATACCCATCAGGTATAATGTAATCACTATGATCTAATACACCTAGTACCTGAGTATTATGTCTCGCTGCACTTATATTGGTCCACCGCGGGTAATACGTTACATCGCATAGCGGCATAGAGTGACTTCAAGTTGACCAGCCGAGTTATCGATAGTATGAAGCAGTTGAATTGACTGACCATTTGTTATTCCCGGATGTGTTACATACATATTAAATATACTAAGATACTATATCATAACTTAAATATGAAATCAACTTCCATTACTAATCAGTCGATTTTAGTAAGTGCCTCTGGTGCTAATTCTTTTGTTCATTTCCCTGATATCTTTGAAAAGTACAGGGTCACAGCATCCAGCGATAAAATGGTGCATGATTAGCATTGATTGGTTTCACAATCCGATGCAATTTTGGCAGAACCAGTTAAACTTTGCCATATGGTGTGCCACAACAGGATGTGGTGTATATCTTTATGCCCCAGGATTTGAACTAAATAAGTCTGTATTATCATTTCACGTGTACTATCAGATTAGACGTATAATTAAAGAAATTAGTGCTCCATTACCGCAGGATCGAGCATGGAATTCCACAAATAATCCATATGATAAGAGGGCCTTCGAACGTATTTGTAATGAATTTAATGTTTCTACAGGAACAGATTGGCGTATTAAAGGATCTAGCCATGGTCTAGGTGTTCCATACAGTGGACAAAAAACTGTTAAAGAAGAAAGTGATATTTTAGCAAAAGAAATGGTAAAAATACCAGTAGATCCACTTAGGTGGTCGCATAGAAGCAAACTTTATGTAAGATTACATAATATTTTCTTAAAAACTCATAATCGGTATCACAACTGGCAACTTTTTAATAATGATTGGAGGGAAGATATTATAAGTTTTAAGAGTGGCTTGCCTTATATTGTTACAAAGTTTGTGCATCCAAACGATACAACAGACGCTTGGAATGAATTTCTATTTGATAAAACAGAAAATAAATTTACTAACCCAGGAGTTGTAAGAGTTAATGAATCAATAAGAACTTATGTATGAGCAATTCTTGGTGCACAATCGCAAACACGAACGGGAATAATTGGTTCTAGGACAGTGCTCGATGCGCCAAAACAGATTGTCGCAAACGTAGAGGATGCTATTAATTCACCCGTTGACATACCATCTTCTATAAAACGTTATCAAGATGTATTACAGTACGCTTAATCCAAAGTAGACTACGTTTATGCTCCGGGACTATACATGTCTCCGAGTAATATGGGACTTAAGATCGGTCAAGTGATCGGTTATAGTAATAAAA